TTAAAAAAACCGCCTCCTCATGCTGCGGGAAACCCCGGGAGTTCTCATGGGCCCCCTGTACGCCCTCCCATTCCCTCCCGTCCCCAATCGCCACACTCTGCCATGTCCATTTTGGGGGGTCTCCCCCAACACACTGCGGGTTTTTCCTTTTTTTTGCATAGGGTGCGGGGCAGATTACGGGCCTCCCATACTCTCCCAAAGGCCCCAAATCTGCCAGGGGCCCCTATACCCCGCCTCCTCATGCTGCGGGCCAGGCCCCAGAGTGCCCTCATGGGCCCCCCTTAGGGGCCCCCCAAAAGCTGCGGGCCCTCCATCGCCACACTCTGCCATTTTGCCATTTTCCCAGGTCTCCTCACACACGCTGGTGTTTTCCCTTTTTTTGACTTTTGGGTGCTGGCAGTTTAAAGGGGGCCCCCTTTGGCGCTCCCAAGGCCCCTAATCTGCCATGGGCCCCTGCCGCCCCCTCATGCTGTTTCCCCCGGGGGTCCAGAGTGTCTCAGGGGTTTTCCCTGTACGGGCCCCCCCTTTGCTGCTTTTCCTCCATCGCCACACTCTGCCATTCCACTTTGGGGTCTCCCACACACTGCTGGTGTTTTTAAATTTTTTGACATAGGGGGGCTGGCAGATTACGGGCCCCCCCAATAGCTGCTGCCAGGCCCCTAATTTTCCAGGGGCCCCCTTTAAAAACCCCCGCCCGGGCCCCCTCATGCTGCTGCCGGCCGGGTTTCCCCCCCCCCAGGTGTTCTCATGCCAAATGGGGGCCCACTTTCGGGTCCCCTTTCACCCCTGCTGGGGGTTTTCCCAATTTTTTTGACATAGGGGCGGGAGATTACGGCCCTCCCTTTAGTTTTGTTTGCCGGGCCCCCTAATTTTCCATGGGCCCCAAAAAAACCGCCTCCTCATGCGGGCGGGCCAAAGGCCAAGGTCCCCCAGGGGTCCCTGTAGGGCCCTCCCATTGCGGGCTGTCCCCCAAACGCCACACTCTCCCCATGTCCCAATTTTTCAGGTCTCCTCACCCCTGCTGGTGTTTTTCCTTTTTTTGCCATGGGTGCTGGCAAAATTAGGGGCCCTCCCATAGCGCTCCCCGGCCCCTAATCTGCCATGGGCCCCTAAAATACCCGCCTCCTCATGCTGCTGCCCAGGTCCAGATGTCCTCATGGGTTCACCTGTACGGCCACCCATTGCTGCTGTCTCCATCGCCACACTCTGCCATGTGCCACTTTCAGGTCTCCTCACACACTGCTTGTGTGCCCATTTTTTGACATAGGGTGCATGGGCAGATTACGTGCCTCCCATAGCTGCTGCCAGGCCCCTATCCTGCCATGGCCCCTATAAGCGCCTCCTCATGCTGCTGCCCAGGTCCACAGTGTCCTCATGGGACCCATGTACACGGCCTTCCATTGCTGGCAGACCATCCATTCGCCACACTCTGCGGGCCAGGGTGCCCACTTTCAGGTCTCCTCACAACAGCAGCTGGTGTGTCCATTTTTTTGACATAGGGTGGCTGGCAGATTACTGGCCTCCCATAGCTGCTGCCAGGCCCCTAAATCTGCCAATGGGCCCCTATAAGTCCGCCTCTCATGCTGCTGCCAGGTCCAGAGTGTCCTCATGGGTCCCCTGTACGGCCATCCCTTGCTCTGCTGTCATCCATCGCCACACGCTCTGCCATGTGCCCCACTTTCAGGTCTCCTCACATTACACTGCTGGTGTGTTTCATTTTTTTGACATAGGGTGCTGGCAGATTACGGGCCTCCCATAGCTGCTGCCAGAGCCCCTAATCTGCGCCATGGCCCCTATAGCGCCTCCTCATGCTGCTGCCAGTTCCAGAGTGTCCTCATGGGTTCCCCTGTACGGCCTCCCCATTGCTGCCTTGTCTCCATCGCCACACACTCTGCCATGTGCCACTTTCAGGTCTCCCTCACACACTGCACGCTGGTGTGTTAAATTTGTGACATAGGGATGCTCTGGCAGATTTACGGGGGGGCCTCCCGATAGCTGCTGCCAGGCCCCTAATCTGCCATGGGCCCCGTGTTAACCGCCTCCTCATGCTGGCTGCCAGGTCCAGAGTGTCTCTCATGGGTCCCTGTACGGCCTCCCATGTGCTGCGTGTCTCCATCGCCACACTCTGCTGCCATGTGCCACTTTTCTAGGTCTCCTCACACACGGCTGGTGTGTTCCAATTTTTGTGACATAGGGTGCTGCAGAATTACGGGCCTCCCATAGCTGCTTGCCAGGCCCCTAATCGGCTGCCATGGGGCCCCTGTACCCGCGCCCCCTCAATGCTGCTGCCAGGTCCACAGTGGCCTCTCAATGCTGGCCATACGCACACTGCCACTTTCAGGGCTCCTCACACTGGCTGGTGTGTTCAATTTTTTGACATAGGGTGCTGGCAGATTACGGTGACCTCCCATAGCTGCTGCCAGTCCCCTAATCTGCCATGGGACCCTATACCGCCTCCTCATATGCTGCTGCCAATTCCAGAGTCTCTCATGGATCCCCTGTACGCGGCGTCCCATTTGCTGCTGTCTCCATCGCCACACACCTGCTATGGTGCAACTTTTCATGTCTCCTCACACGTGCTGGTGTGTTCCATTTTTTGGTTCCCACCCATGTAGGGTGCTGGCAGATTACGTGCCTCCCATAGCTGCTGGCCAGGCCCCCTAAATCTGCCATGGGCACCTATAGCGCCTCCTCATCGCCTGCTGCCTAGGTCCAGAGTGTCTCATGGGTCCCATGTACGGCCTCCCAGTTGCTGCTCGTCCTCCATTGCCCACACTCTGCCATGTGGCCCACTTTCAGGTCTCACTCTACACACTGTGCTGGTGGTGTTTCCAAATTTTTGACATAAGGGTGCTGGCAGATTACGTGGCCTCCCCATAGCTGCTGGCCAGGCCCCTAATCAGCCCATGGGGGCCCCCTATAAAGCGCCTTCCTTCATATGCTGCTGCTGCCAGGTTCCCAGAGTGTCCTCCATGGGTCCCTGTACGGGGGGCCTCCCATTGCTGCTGTCTCCATCTGCCACACCTCTGCCATTGTGCCAACTTTCAGGTCTCTCCTCACAACACTGCTGGTGTGTGTTCAATTTTTGACATAGGGGTTGCTGGCAGATTACGGGCCCTCCCCATAGCTGCTGCGCAGGCCCCTAATCTGCCCCGATTGGGCCCCTGTACCCCCCGCCCCGACTCCTCATTGCTGCTGCCAGGGTCGAGAGTTGTCTCATGGGTCCCTGTACGGGCCTCCCATTGCTGCTGTCTCCATCATCGCCACACCTCTGCCATGTGCCACTTTTCAGGTCTCCTCACAGCACTGCTGGTGTGTTCCATTTTTTTGACATAGGGTGCTGGCAGATTAAACCGGGCCTCCCATAGCTGCTGCCAGCCCCTAATCAGCCATGGGGCCCCCTGTACCCCGCCCCCTCTCATGCTGCTGCCAGGTCCACAGTGTCTCGATGCCATGTGCCACTTTCAGGTCTCGTCCTGCACCAACTGCAGGTGTGTACAATTTTTTGACGATATGGTGGCTGTCAGATTACAGGAAACCTGGGCCATAGCTGCTGCCAGGCCCCGTAATCCATGCCATGGGCCCCTAAACACCCCTTCCTCGATGCTGCTTGCCACAGTCCAGAGTCTCTACATGGATCCCTGTACGACTGCGTCGCCATTGCTGGCTGTCCCATCCATCGCCTACAACTCTGCTAAGTGCAACTTTCAGTCTCCCCTCACACTGGCTGGTGTGTTCTCAATTTTTTGTCATAGGGTGCTGGCGTGATTACGGGCCATAAACACCCATGTTTTGCTGCTGCGCCGAGGACCATAATCTGCCATGGGCCCCCGTATATAACCCAACCCGCCATCCTCATGCTGCTGCACGCCAGGTCCAGAGTCTCTCATGGGTCCCATGTACGGCGTCCCATTGCTCTTGCTGCTGTCTCCATCGCCACACCAGCTCTGCCATGTGCCACTTTCAGGTCCCTCACACTGCTGGTGTGTTCCATTTTTGGTCAGATAGGGTTGCTGCTGGCAGATTAATTACGGGCCTCCCATTAGCTGTGCCAAGGCCATGAGGAACCATATCTGCCATGGGCCCACGATACCACCGCGACTCTCATGCTGCTCAGCCAGTCCAGAGTCCTCTCTCATGGGTCCCTGTACGGCGTCCCAGTTTTGCTGCTGTCCTCCATCGCCCACACACTTCTGCCAATGTGCCACTTTCAGGGTCTCCCTCACAACTGCTAGGTGTGTTCCATTTTATGTCATAGGGTGCTGGCAATTACGGGCCTCCCCATAGGCTGCTGCCGAGGACCATAACTCTGCCATGGGGCCCCCTATACCACCTCCCATGCGGCTGCCAGGTCCCAGAGTCTCTCATGGGGGGACCCTGTACGGCGTCCCATTGGCTGCTGGTCTCCATCTCCAACATGCTCCTGCCATGTGCCACTTTCATTTTCTCTCCTCACACTGCTGGTGTGTAGTTAAATTTTTTGTACATCAGGGTGCTGGCAGATTACGGGCCTCCTCATAGCTGGCTGCCCAGGCCCCTAATCTGCCAAGGGCCCCTGTACCACCTGCCTCCTCATGCTGCTAGCCCAATCCAGGAGTCTGCTCATGGGTCCCAGTACGGCATCCCACTTGCTGCTGTCGTCCCATGTCGCCACACTCTGCCATGTGCCTCTTTCAGGTCTCCACACTGCTGGTGTGTTCCATTTTTTTTGTCATTAGGGTGCCTGGCAGATTAACGGCCTCCGATAGCAGCTGCGGCCAGGACTCGGATAAAAATATCCTGCCCTGGAGCCCCCTATACCGCCCTCCTCATGCTGCTGCCAGGTCCAGATCTCACATGGGTCCCCTGTACAGCGTCCCATTTTGCAGCTGTCTCCATCAGCCACACTCAGCCATGTGCCACTTACAGGTCCTTCCTCACACACTGCTTGGTGTTGTCAATTTTTTTGTCATAGGGTGCTGGCAGATTAACGGGCCCTACCCATAGCTGCTGCCAGGCCCCTAATCTGCCAGTGGGCCCTCTGTACCCGCCTCCCTCATGCTGCTTGCCATGGTCCCATAGTCTCTCATGGGTCCCTGTATACGGCCGTCCCATTGCTGCTGTCCTCCATCGCCACACTTTTTCACTCTGGGCCATGTTGCCACTTTCAGATCTCCTCAACGACTGCTGGTGTGTTTCATTTTTGTCATAGGGTGCTTGGCATATTACGGGCCTCCCATTGCTGCTGCTGCCAGGACCCGTAATCTGCCCAATGGGCCCCCGTACCGACTCCTCATGCTGTGTGACGTTGCAACAAGGTGGAATACAACCCTACATATGTTAGACCGCCTTTACGAACAGCAGGCGAAAGGCCAATCACAGTCGATTTCCTGATGTTAAAAGCGGATAAAGGTACTCCCTGGGTGTAACTTAGATGTCAGCCATTGGCAGCTCATGCGATGACACCCTGCGTTTGCTCACTATGCCCTTTGAGGAGGCCACGCTATTCGTGAGTCAGGCAGGACTATGGGATGAACGCACGGTCATTCCTGCTGTTGCACGACCTGGAACAAATGCTGTTAACATGGCTGTCAGGGGAGCGGTAGACGTGGCGCACAGATCTCAACGCCTACATGACCCCTGTGGGGGCAGGACAGGAAGAAGAGGAGGAGGTAGAGGAGGACATTGGTGCTCAGGAATTATTGAGTGAAATGGGTGGTTTTTTTGGTTTTTCCACTCAGTACGGACAGGAGTGGAGGAGCAGGAGCATCTGGTAGATGAGGAGGAGGAGGAGACAGAGGACCCAGACGCACCGTGGCAGTATGCTGTGGAGATGAGAGGCAGGGAGTCCCTCGCATTCCTTGGCACAAATGAGCCCATTAGCATGCTCGCTTGCTTGCGTAGTGACAGCCGAATAATAACCATCAGACAGAGGGATGACTTTTGGTGCTGTCCACCTTGTTGGACCCTCCAGCTACCGTTCAAAAATGGTGGCTTTTTCACACCACCTGCTGAGAGAGGGAGACCAAAAATAACCGTACTATAAAAACCACCTATGTAGTCAGTTGAGTCTGATCTCTGCCTTTCTGGCGCCAACTTCCCATCCTCCATACACTGTGGGCCCATGTGGCGCAGTCGCCTCGCGTTTTCCGCTGCCATGGCAGCAGGGAGGGGTGGGGTGGTAGGAGCAGTGGCAGCTCCACACCAGCCGGCGGCTGCCTCAGTCTGCAGTCGATGATGAGTAGCTTTCT